GAGGGAAGCGATGCGCGAGTTACCGCGCTCTTGGCTTCCCTCAGGGCACCCGCAAAAGCCTCGCGAATGCCCAGTCTGTACCGCAGCCTCCGATCCCTGCATCCGCCGAGCCAGTCATGTCGCCAGTCATGTCATGAGAAAATGCGTCGTGGTGCAGCCTGTTCCTGAGCAGCCCCTCGCAGCTCCTTGCTGCCTGCCACCCGAGTGGTTGCTAATCGATTTCTTAATAATTTGCTGTAGAGGCTTCCCAGAGCCCGAGGCAGGGAAGGGAGCCTCCTCCGCCTCCGCGCTTGGGAGACCGGGCTGCTCTCCCCGAGCTCCCGGGCATCTCCTGGCTCCCTCCCTGCGCATCAAGGGGTGTTTTGTAAGTGCCTCTGACTCCAGCATCTTTATCTTATCTTAGCTGTATCTTTTACTCTTTAACTTGTACCTTTCTACTCTGACCTGGCCTTGTGTCTCCCTTTTGGCCTATTTTTGTATCACCTATGATTTGTTCCTCTTTTCCCCTTAAGTAATGAACCTTGTCTTTTCCTCTCTTTTAAGTTTTTGTTAGAACCTTTGCTTGTGATCCTTTATGTCCTTTGTTAATCTTAACTCATCTTTGTGCCAGCACTGTTCTGATTTTATCCCTGCCTGGCAGCAACGTCTCTTTTACTGATCCTTAGCTGTGTGCCCTTTTTTACTTTTCTTTTGTATGTGTGTGATTCTTTTTATTTTTCAGATCATTAAAGCACTCCTGATGATATAGCAGTCTGTAGCAGTCTTTCACACAGACTCTATTCTGAATTGCCACTGTGCATTTAATATAGACCCTTCCAGTAATTACTGGCTTTCTCAAACTCTTAGAGAGAATCTCATAGAGTATTTGCCCAAGAATCATGTCTAACTTTCCCTGTTTTTTTTTTTTGAAGTACATTAGTTTCTGTCCCTCAGACTCTACTTTCCTTAGCACAGGCAATGAGGATCTTGGGCTAGTGGGCCAAATTCAGCTCACCACAGCAGCTCATCATGTTCTGCTTCCTGATGCCCCCTTTCCTAAGGATCTTTTATACAAAAATGGGAAGCATGCTGCAGTCTGGTGTGTTGGTACTGGAAGTCCATTTCCTCATGGAAATCTCCTTTCTATTCCAAAGTTTTGCAGCATCACTTGACATGAACTGAAATGGCCCTCTGTAACCACACAGTGGATGTGTAAATATTCTGTTGCACAGACTCGGTGATTAAAATACATCCATTTTCATTGTTGTTCTGTGCATAAATCATGGTATAGGAAACGCTGGCATTTTGTTTGCATGTTGGTCACGTGGTAAGAAAGAAGTTGATGTTTTTTTCAGTGCATGTGTAAAAGTCTGTATTGTTTGCCTCTACCTAAAGGAATCTCTTTATAGAGTGGTTACTCCTGTGGTTACTTTCACATATGATTTTTCATCTTTAGAATTGTAATCCAATTTCAGTGAGTTCCTTCCTTCTAGTTAGAACTGAAATGTAATGTGGCCAGTCTTCTAATAGCCTCCTCCGATATCTGAAACACCAAATTTCTCTCAGCTGTTTACCACACATACTGTATTTCTAGCTAATGGCTGGGTAAAGTTCTCTGCTAACCATCGGTTACCGTTATACCAGGATCAGCTCTTGGTAGGTTTTTCAGTAAGAGTATGATCCAGCTTCTCCTTTTCATGTCTCCTCTCACTACCTCCCAAACCTCAGTCTGATGCTTTCTTTTTGCTCCTTCTTAATCAACTTGTTTTTCCTCATTGCATCCCCAGTTTCAGAGGTCATATAGACATTCTTGTTATATGATGTAGAGCCACTTCCTTTTTCTCCTTTTCTTCTCTTCTGGAAAAACTCCGTCTTTCTATACCAGCGTATTTATCCTATGGTTAGTTATACCAGCTTGCTATACTGATTATTATAGTTTCATATGAAGACTTCCTTCCAGTTGCTTGTGTTTATTTGTTTTGTTTTTATGTCTAGTTGAGATACTCAGAAGTTGCCTGGTTGTTTTTCCCTTTACCCCTGTTATAGCTTTCCTGCAGTTTCCTGTCCTTTACTCTCCAAAGCTGCAGCAGCATTTATTTTAATTTATTTAAAAGGAGCCACTGCTGCTCTTCAAAACCTCCATTACTCTGTTAGTGAATTTGAATTCTAAAACTCAGCTTATCTTGTCATGATTGCCATTGGATCCATGTGGGCAGCCCATATTCCAGACTAATTGGGGAGTATGGATGGTTCTGTGTGTCTTCCTTCCTGGTCAATATAATCTGTTTTCCACTCAGAACTGCATAAAAGTACTCCAATTCACAAAGAAGCAGCCATGAAAGGGGGAAAAGCCTTCCAAACCATCCTTTTTTCAACCCACAGACCTGCTTTCTGAGTATTTTCTGAGTATATAAGAGCAATTAGCTCTTAGTGTCTTACTTCGCACAGGCAAGCTGCCTTCCCAACCTGTCCCAACTAGGATCTCAGCAGTTCCTCTACAGCAAGGATGATGCCCAGGCAGCGTCCTCCATGCATGTGCAGAAAGGAAGAGCTTGGAGCAGTGCTGGCAATTTGGTATTTTTCATATGTTTAAAAACTCTTTTTTTTCCTAACTGACATTTTCTCATTCTTCTGTTAGTTTCTCCCTTACAGTCCCTTTCTGAATGTCAGAAAAAGAGCAGACATATTAATTGCCAGTGTCTATTCAGTTATCAGGCACCTTGCAGAACAGGAATTTTGGATTTGCCATGCAAGATAATAGCATGAGGCCATTAAATATGGCAGCAAGGTACTGTCCTAATAAAACTCACTGACATGACCAAACCCAAGACATTAAAGAAACCAAAATTCATGGAACCAAAACAAGTGTCCCAATACTTCAATTCTATGCTCAGTGTTTAGGGAGATTACTTCTTTATTGATGTCTATGGATGAGAAACTGTGGAAACAATTTAGTGATGCATAAGGTCAGCAATCATCATTCAGAGAAACCGTTTGTAGTTTTCACTATTCCACTTTCAACTTTTATTATTACATTAAGAAGTGGAAGAAAAGGAAAGGAAAGAAATTATTAACGATTTGAGACAACAAAGTGCCATGCTCAATATTACAAGAAAAGCTTTTCCTGCTTCTCCCCGCCCCCGTCTCACGAATGTAACTTTATTTTTTTAGCTCCTGTACCTGAATGTGAATACACATGCAGTGCTTCTTCTAAGCCAGTTATATACTCTCTGTTGTCATACAAAGATCTGAGAATTAAAAACTTGTATGTACTGTGAAACACAAATTATCACTGCTTCTGTGCCGAAGCACAGCTTAATATCGTATCCTTTCATATATGTGGGGTGGAATTCTTTATGCAACATAGCTGGGAAGAGAGCTGGGCAGATTCTACTCTTACTTGAGAAGAAAAACACTCGGGAAGTTTGTCTGATTAGAACTGTTTCCAACATTTGTGGTTTATATTTACAGTATAAGCTTTTTGAGGTAGCACTGGAATGCTGTTATGTCCATACAGTGCCTGGCACAATATGCTTTATCTGCAACAAGAGCTCAGAGGAACTGCTTTAACACAAATATTTAACAATATATGTCCTGTTAATGGAAAATAAAATGGTAATGGAGTTATTGGGATTTCCAGATTCTACCTTTCGTCTTTCACGTAAGGGTTGTTATGTTTCCCGGAGAAAGTTGAGATAGTATAGTCCTGAAAACAGCTGTGAGATTTATTGTGGCAAGATAACAGACATAATCAAAATAATCACATGCAATATATGTGATGTGTGCGTGGTTTTTACATATAGCTTTTATCACAGTCCTCTTTTAAAACTGTAAAAAAATCATAATCTCAGTTTTATGGACAGGATAACTGAGGTACACTGCAGCTAAGATCAAGATTTTTCACAGCTAAATTCTTCTAAATCAGATATTTATCACTGACAGTTTGATGCCTGCATATGTATTCTTCAGAATGGATTCTTCAGAAAGGATCTCAAAAGAGCTAGCCCTTGTTTAACAGACTATACTGTATGTGAAGACAAAATCTAACTTCTTGCCCTCCAGTGCTCCCCTTCTCTTTTTCTTTGTTTATTAATCCCTAACTTCCTTACTCCCTCCCCACAGACTTCAGAGACACTGAATCCTTCTGCATTGTGTTTTTTTAATTATTATTATCAGGAAGAGCATGTATGTATCTGTATGACTCATTTATTCCTTGATTTTAGTTCAACTCTCCTTGGAAATATATTGACTCTCATAGGTATACACATTACTTTCTTTTTAAAAATTCTTCATTCTTATTTAGTTATGTGACAGCATCACTGAAGTGCATGAGGTATTTTGTGGTTTTGTTTGTATTAGTGGCAAATTACAAGACCAAATTGATTAGTGCATAGTTTATAAAGGTGAAACAGAACAAAATAGGAATTAGGATTACTGATTTTGCTCCCAGGGGTATTTATGATTTCTGATATCTCATAAAAAGTATTATGCTGCATTTTTCCTTCTCTTGCTTTCTCTCGCTCTCTCTTTTTTTTTCTCCTTTTTTCTTTTCCAGAAGAAATCATTGTGGGTTTTGTGCATTGGAAGTATGGAATCAATCTCTATGATGGGGAGTCCCAAGAACCACAATGAAACTTTTTTACCAAATGTTGCCAATGGCATCAAGGATGCCAGTAAGATCACAATAGGTATCATTGGAAGTGGAGACTTTGCCAAGTCGTTGACCATTAGGCTCATCAGATGTGGGTACCATGTGGTCGTGGGAAGCAGAAATCCGAAGCTTGCTGCTGAGTTCTTTCCTCATGTGGTTGATGTCACTCATCATGAAGATGCAGTAACAAAAACAAACGTAATTTTTGTAGCCATACACAGAGAACATTATGCCTCTTTGTGGGACCTTAAGCATTTACTTGTTGGTAAAATTCTGGTTGATGTCAGCAACAATACAAGAGTGGACCAGTATCCAGACTCCAATGCAGAGTACTTGGCAGCACTTTTCCCAGATTCCCTGATTGTCAAAGGATTCAATGTCGTCTCAGCTTGGTCACTGCAGTTAGGACCAAAGGATGCCAGCAGACAGGTAAAAATTGTATTTGTATTAATTTGATTTCTTTATAAGATGGAAATGATGGGAACTGACTCTTGTAAGCAGTCAGAACTTGTGGGATTCAACTTACCTGACTTAATCTATCAAAAATATTGGGTCTTCAGTCTAAGTTTTAATAGTCAGTAAAATGTTGAGAGTTGCACATAGAGTTAGTGGCCCAAATTGTCCTCTGGGATGTCTATCTTTAAAGATTATAAAGGAAATGCAAAAGTACGAGTTTAGACTAGACATCTGACTTTCAGATGATGATAGTTAGAGGAGATGAGTAGAGTTTTAATGTCTTCCATAGGAGATATGTTAACTTTTATTCCTAAAATCTAAACAAGGATGGAGGCTTTCCAATATATTTTGGTTTAGGTGTTGATTGATGCGGTTCAAATGTCGAAAGAGATGCACAGATCTGAGGATCCTAATGCCAGGTCTTGGGAGATAAGCATTTTTTGTAAATGTGTGCATTCAATGTAAGTAACAGTAAAGAGAATGAAATACATTATTTAAATTTTATAATGCCCCAAGATAATAAATATGAAAAAAAAAACAACAAAAGAAAACAGAAGGAAGCACATATGTTTCTGAGTGATCATTCATCTGGTCCAGGATTCCTTGGGAACGTGATGTTCAAATGCCTTCCCAGAATATTTTCAGAATCTCCACCCCGTGTATATAAAAGAGGAGCTTTATGTTTTTCATGCTTTGCTGGAATGGCACAAAGGATTTAAGCCTATGCAGGAACCCAGTCCTTCACACCTCTAGAGTGTGCATGAAAAAAAGTAACAGGACTCCAGGAGACTAAACAGAGTTTTCTGGCACATCAGGTGGATTTCAAATGGAACGCGTTTGGTATGGAATTAGCATAATTACAAAAATAACCCCACTGCACTCTTTTTAACCCCTTTCAGCAGAGCTCTGCACTATAAGTAATTGACTTCCATGAAAGCTGATCATGTTGGCTCTAATGATCAGAAGTCAGTGATGGGCAAACTACCACAATGCAGATTTCTAAAGGGAGTTGAAATTACTTTGTAGCAGCACACTTCTTTCACTATGTAATAAGCTGATCTTTAGAAGAAGTTCTTATTTGCCTGCTGGTTTTGCTTCATTTTGTCTTTTCTGTTAGACAGATTCCGTTTTTGTGGAAATCTGGATTGTGAAATAAACTAGGATTATTATACACAGACACTAGACAGTTCTCTACTTTGCATCCCGTTGAAGCTATAGTTGTTTTAGGGTTCCTGCAAGCAAGATTCCTGTCCTTTTGAGAGACTCCTGTAATTCCTGGGTTTGTTTTTTGTTTCCGTTTCTCATTTTTGTGATATAATCTGTGATAACAATGTATAGATAATCTGTGATAACAATGAATAGTTTCAGCTGTAGTGCCACAGTTTGGCCCTCTGAAGTTTTTGTTTGTTCGTTTTGTGTTTAAATCTATTTCTCCGAGTGCAAACAATTCACTTTTCCAACAGGTCTATATATGCAGTAACAATGTTGCAGCTCGCCATCAAATTATGGAGCTTGCCCGGCAGCTCAGTTTTATTCCAATTGATTTGGGAGCGTTGTCGTCTTCCAGGGAGATTGAGAACTTACCTCTGCGACTGTTCACACTGTGGAAGGGACCTGTAGTGATTGCCATTAGCCTGGCAACGTTTTTCTTCGTCTACTCCTTCGTCAGAGATGTAATCCACCCCTTTGTGAGAAATCAGCAGAGTGACTTTTACAAGATCCCCATTGAGATTGTGAACAAGACGTTACCGATTGTTGCTATCACTTTACTCTCTCTAGTATATTTATCTGGACTTATTGCAGCCGCTTACCAGCTTTACTACGGTACTAAGTACAGGCGTTTTCCACCTTGGCTGGAGAGCTGGCTGCAGTGTCGAAAGCAGCTCGGCCTGCTCAGCTTTTTCTTTGCCACAGTGCATGTGGCCTACAGCCTCTGCTTGCCCATGCGGAGATCGGAGCGATACTTGTTCCTCAACATGGCATATCAACAGGTAAGCTGATCTCTACCTGTTAGCAAAAGCCAAGAACGCACTGGTTGCATTTATGGCATTCATCAATACAATATGTTTGGAGTTATCTTATGCATAGCTGGTGCTTAGTAAGCAGGAAGAGGAAAAAAGCTGGGCATTGTGCTTGCCTCACATGGAGCAAGCTGCAATCAAGTTTGCCCGGTAAGAGAAATCAAGGAGGTGCTCTGCCTAAATTCCTGGTAGAAGTATACAGAAATAGAATGGAGGATATATGGGAAAAGAGCAAAATGAGAGGAAATGTCTGACTTTCTGGAGTGTCTTTCTCTATATTTGTTCTTAAGATAGGGGACATATATGTATATCATCAATGTGTTATGACATATAAGATACTATTGTACCAAATGTGTGAAGAACAAGTGCGGATAAAATGGTAAGAGTAGATAATGTGCACAAATACATTTTTGTTTAAGAAATACAAATTCTGTTACTTTGTAACTTTTCAGACCAGAAATATTTTATTCATTAGAAATGCTGTGAATGTCATCTATTACAGGCAACAGACATTGACTCATACTTCCCAGGAGCAGTTGGTCTTGCATAACACTGAAACCATCTCCAGCAAAGCTATTCTGCTGTAAAGAAGGGTCTGCTGCTCTTCTCTGTCAGTGAGATATATAGTTTATTGTCATCTCTAAAGTGACATAAAAAAAGAGCAATGCCTCTCGGCATGAAAAAAAACATTGCTGGAAAGAGAGATGGAACAGAAAAAAAAAAAGCAAACTAAGGAAGTCAAATCTTAATAATAGAACAAATGAAAGGGGATGGGGTGCACAAATTCTAAAAGAAGGATTGGCATGAAAAATTGAACTTAAAGGCAGAGAGAACAAACATATAAAAGACAGGCAGCAAGTATTGTTCACACTTAGCAGAGGACTTGCTGATTCTTTTAGTAAGAAATGATCATGTTTTTAATAACATTATAGAAATCTGACTTGCTAATATTTGTAGTGAGCCACTTTCAGGAGCTGTTATAGTCCACCTGAAAATGGAAAAAGAATTGATTATCCAAGCGTCTTAACTGTTAAAGACCTCAGTTTGTGTCTCCTCTCACAAAGCCCTTCAGGCCGAGCAGTCCTAGAACTATCTGTTGTCAACAATGAAAGAGTCGAAATAACTTGGACTCAGCATAGGGACCTGAAGCAATAACAGGAAATGATTAAAAGCTATTTCTAAATGTAACAAGCTAGAAACAAATTGCAGATTTACCCAATATATGATGTACAATATAAGTCACTGAAATCTGAAAAACACAGATACTTTTCTACAATATATGGGAACATACAGATTTATATATTTTTATAAAATAATTTATATAACTAGTACATAATGTTACATTTTCTTCTACCTATTCACCTAAGAGTCTCTGTTTAGCATATTTTTAACATAACAAGAGTTAATGCTAGATGTAGGGAAATAGTTATTTGTCTCCGGGACATAAATAAATCTCTGAAATATCTGACCCCATTATATATTTGTCCTACAGCTGTAAGCTTTTATTCAGCCAAAAAAAAATGTTGTTGATATTTTTAATATTCTGGAGAATAAGGACTTCCTTTCTGCTTCTTCATCAGGTTCATGCAAATGTTGAAAATTCTTGGAATGAGGAAGAAGTGTGGCGAATAGAAATGTATATCTCCTTTGGAATAATGAGTCTTGGATTACTTTCTTTGCTGGCAGTAACTTCGATCCCTTCAGTAAACAGTGCCTTAAACTGGAGGGAGTTCAGTTTTATTCAGGTGTGTTACTTTTTAAATAAGAGATTTTTGGTTACTAATAACAATTCATGTTCATAATTATTATTATTGTTATGAAAAGCACTTTACAACATGATGAGAGCATATTGGTTCCCCTCTCCCATGGTAAGTTAATAAAAACAACATCCTTACTCAGCAGGTATATATCAGTGAATGCATATTAAGCATTTCATGAGTGACAGAACAGGAATTCTGCTTTTTACTGTTGCTGGTCTTAAAGAATCTATACAGCTAAGACCAAATAAGCAGGAATTTAATGTTTTCCATTATTAGAATTCCATGTTAAATTCAAGTTAGATGAAATCAGACCAACCCACCAAAGGAACTTGCTTATTAAAAGCAGTGGCCATCTTCTAGTCCTGGCATTCTTCTTACTGCCCTTCTTTTGCAGACAAATGCCTGCTACAGGCAGATCTAAACAGCATAAATTACTGAGAAATATGAGAGGCAAATAATAAATAACATTTGCTTACAAACAACATCGCCATTATTTTTAAGTAGCTGTCATTGATCTGAAATGTCATTAGGATTCAGTTTTGTGATAAAATCCAGAAGTGTATACGTGGGGGTCTGGGTGCAGCGGCTTTGTTTTTGTGGGAGGAATTCTGGGCTCAGTACTCTAGTCTTAAATCATTTTTTTTTCCGATTAAGGGCTTTAGGACATATCCACTGTATTGAAATTTCCTAGTTTTTATTCTTGCTGCTATTGACTAATTCCTACCTTCAAAACACAAGCATTTGCTTCACTTTCCAGAGCTTGAGCTGGGTTTCATAACTTGCAGTATTTTAAAGGAAGTGATGGAGAACACCAGTTTGGCTACAGCTGCCAGAGGTGTTCTGTTTGTAAACTAATACTTTGCCATCTCTTATAGTTTCTGTGGGTGGAAGGCTCCAGTTATCCCGAAAAAAAAGCAATTCAATTTTCTCTTGATGGAACTAGCTATTCTCACCCTGTTTGAGCCTTCAGTGTTCACAAATAGACATTTTGTTCCACTACAACAAACATCCCTGTCCATCAGATCTCTCTGTGGGGGTGACTATAGTACTGCTGCTCTGTGAGCTAAAATCGTAGTGCAAATGAAAAAAACATGTACTCATGAGTGAGGTGATGCTTTCATCCAGCCATGGGTTCCACAAGAAAACAATACATATTTATCTTATTTTTTCTCACCCAAATTTTCAGATTTGGATCTTTTGCAACATAGCCAGAAGTGCATTTGCAGACAGATTATCATGTAATGCTTGGATTTTGACTGTACTGTATTTACTGCAGTTATTTTCACTGTAAATAAATAGCAATTTTAAGGAATCATTTCTCAATATTTTGAGGAATTTAACGGGGAACAAAGTGTTCTCACTGGAAGTATGTTTCTGTTGAAACTGGATCATGTATTAGAGAGAACTAGGACAGGTATTTTACAGTTCCTCTCAGAAAAAAAAAGAGTGAAAAGAGTCTGCATTTTACCACAAGCATCATTACCCTCGGTGTGCCAGTAAAACAGATAAAATATCACAATATTGCCTTTGATCTGTTTCTATAGTGCAAGACCTGAGTGAAGGCCCTGCCGCTACTTGCTTTGGTTTGAACAGACCTCTAACAAGAATCCCACAGAAAAGGACCTGTATCCTGTAGAGGAACCCTAGTTGTGAATGTTGTTGTCTAGAGATCCCCTTGACTTTGATATTCCCAATCTTTTTGGAGCTGGCTCCAACTTAATTAGCCTGGGTTTTGGCAATACGGATGGCAGCAGCTCCAAAAATTCCATCCAGTTCGATCAAAAGAAAAAGTCTTAAAAAAAGAGAAGCAATGAAGGCCCAACACATTCTAGGAGAGTATGGGTATGAAGAAACAGATATAAAAAGGCTGAATGGTGAGGCAAAAGGCAGGAACTGTGTTAGCTCTACCAAATGCTAAGAACAGCAAAGTACTTGGTGTTGCTGCAGTACAGAGCTGACCTCTACACCAAACAAATATTTCGTTATTTCCTCATGAATCATAGAGAAATGGTCATAATATCCAGTGGGAGGGGTCATAAAACCAGACAGGGATGAGCAGTTTGCTGAGCAGGAGAGCTTAGAGGGTGGAAACATCACGCAAATCTCTGCAGGCATCTTAACATGACCCAAGGCTGGAGCTCACTGAGGAACGAAGCAGGGAAGAGGCTGTTAAATCAATTCATCAGTTTTATTAAACTTCACTTCAAGGCTGATCTTTTTCTCTTTGAAATATAGTTGGATAAAGAATGAAGATGGACATGGACAAGGAATAAAGGAGAATTCATATTTCATCAGAGCAGACAGAATTTCTACTAGCATAGACCAGCTCATCACAAACAATCCTTTCAGTGTTCACATAAAATACATGGAGAATGGAAAATGTTAGCAAGCAGTCCTGCACCTGGTCTTTCAGTCTTTAAGGGATATTAGTTAAACTGTAAATGTAAGATGCAAACAAAAACAACTACTGCTTTGGTTTTCCAATCTAAAAGTTCAAATCCAAACCACACCATTCAGTGACAGTGGCCAAAGCAGACTAGCTTTGAGTTTAGCTTTATGTTTATTAGCAAAAATCGGTCAGGGTGACACTGCCATTTGCATAGTAGAAAGCAGATCTCTTTATAGATATTCCTTTTGTTAGCACAAAGTCTTTGGAGCCAGTATCGTTAGAGCCTGCCCTCACACATCTTGGAAGGGCTGCTCTGCCTTGTTCTGCATACTAGGGCAGAACATTTTTGCCTCACAGGAAAAAAGCCATGAGGCCTGGCTATTTGGCAAATTTGAGTAAGATTCCAGCCAGAATTGCTGCAGCCTGTTTGTGTGTTTAGCAATATCCTGTTACTGGAGGAATCTGGAGCTTACGTCATATAACTGTAGGCTTTAGAAAATGCTTTTTGTATATATATATGTTATTTGAGACTGCTCAGCCATTGTGAAGATAAGAATCCCTGATGCAGATACGTCCTACTTTATCTATCTATCTATATATGTGCATCTTCTGGTAACATTTTATGGAGTTTTCTTCCTTTCCCACTATACCCACTTTCTTTTATTTTTATTTTATTTTATTTTTTCCTCCTTCAACCAATGCCAGGTTCTCAGGTGCCTTGTTTCTCCTTGTTTGCCAAGTTCCGCCAGTGGCAGGGAATCTCCCACGTTGGCTGGAAAAACTAACTTTGATCAGGAAGGAAAAGAAACAAAACATGGAAGACTGAGAGAAGATCCAAAAGAGTTGGGAGAAATAGGAAATGTGCCGGTCAAGTTTCCAGGCAACACAGTATTATGGAAGATTAGGAAACAAAGAAACCAAAGATGTTCTTCCTCTCTTCCCAGCAGTCATTTTAGAGCAGAGGCAGAGGCTTCCCAAGACTTGCAGCTGATACTGCTACATTCACTCACCAATGTGACTTTACCAGGCAAGGAACAGTGTTCCTTGCATATCAGAATGGTAGCTGCTCTCACCTCCACTGTTCCAATGTTAAACTGACTATTTTCCAGCAAGTAATAACCTCCACAGCTCAGACATCTTCTGTTTCTCAATAATCAAAATATCTTTCATGTTAACATCTGTAGGGACGGACAACTTCGGAATGTGGCTTCCTGCACCTACTGCTGGCCAAGATTTGTAGTGCAGTTCGCTGCCCAAGAATGCCTTTTCCTGTACTGGCTGGTAACTTTCTACCCAAACACAGTTAGCTCTTCAAGTTCCTGATTTCACTGCTGCACAGCTATTGCCAGAATCTTTGAACATCTGCAGACACAGAAAAATCAAGTGCCAGAGCTTTTTTTTTAAAAAAAAAAAAACAGCAAAGTCTGTCATTTGGCTCAGCCTCCAGGTGACAAGGCACTAAAATCAAAAGAAGGCACTGTTGTGTCTTTAAAAAAAAAGGAAAAAAGAAAAAAACAGTGTGCAACAGAAGGTTCTACAAGCAAATAGAGGGAAGTGAATCCAACCTCCAGGTCCAGCAGATGATCAGAGCAGTTTAGATACGCTGTGCGCTGTAAGTGCAGGCTGCTGCTCTGCAGTGCCCTGCTGTGGTACTGACACAGCCTCTTTTGCTAAGTTCTTGCTCAGCTAGCAAAGGCAGCCAGTTTTGGATGTAGTTCTGGAAAAGTCATTGTCAGAAGCTGTAAGCTGGGATAAATGCTTTTAATGAGCCTTCCTGGTACTGATCTGGCCTGTCTAAACATACCAGAGTGCAAAATGCAAAGTTGCGTGGAGAATGTCCTTTTTCTAGCTAAGTAGTGTTTTTACTGTGGAAAGTACAGTACAGAAATCAGGTGACAGAGGCAATTTAGAGCCTATTACAAGAAAATACTGCCAGCAGCTCTTCGAGGAGTGTCTGTTGTGAGATTTTAGGATGCGAGTGGTTGAAATGGGCTGGTGCATACTGGCACTTATGTACCAGCACTTCAGAGAAGCATACAGCAGCTTTCCACAGTTAAAAAGTGGAACTGAATAGAGATGCATCACTTTTATTTTTTTTCTTGTACCATACCCTTATTTCTAACTTCTAGAGTTTTGTTTTGGCAATTAGATACAAAAGCATACATAGATATCATGTCAAAATCGTAGTTTTCAGGAGAAGCTTAAATAAGCATAAGTAAGGTTCTAGAAAAGGCTGGGAAGAGTCTGTTGGCATTTTCCATCCTGTTTCTTTTTCCAAGTATTGTTATAGTTCACATCTGTAAGTCTGATAAAGAAATGAGTGATATGATCCACTCCCTTATGCCTGATGGCCGCGTTATAACAGCAATAACTTCAGGTCCGTCACTCCAGCAAAAAGCTGAAATAACATATTGGAACATTACATGCAGTATCATGGATAGTATCATTTGCCTTCTGAATTTCTTGCCAGAATTTACATTCAGATATCACCTATCCTATCACACCTATCACAAATAATTGTCTTAGATTGTTTAGTTTCTTCATATTTTTGGAAGCAGATTGTTGTTTTTAACTAAATCTTGCGGCATTTCTGAAGCATACCAACATCACTTGGAAAGCAGTGGCAAAAATAAAGCATAAATACTGGCAAGTTAAAAAAATATGCTACCGATCTGCAGAAATTAATAAAAGTATTCTCCCTTTTTGTACCATGACATACACCGATGTAAATCCTTTCAAATGGTTTTAGCTCAAACATTCTCCAGTCCCTGGAAACTGCCTAATCCTGCAGCAGGAAGAATTAATTCTTTCACTAATTATTATAGCTCCTTAGGCTGTATTTTTCTTAATGAAGACAGAAAGAGGGTATGTCTTTGCCTCTCTAGTTTTACTGAAATTAAAGTAAATCTTAGCAGCAAGTTGCCTTTCATAATTTTCCTCCCCTGTGTTTATATGATTTTCTCCAAATGTTCTCTAAACCAAGTCAAACATTAATTCAGTTTTGGTGGAAAAGTGTTTGTCTTCATTTGATTAATGACAGAATTCAAAGCACAATGGCAATTCTCTAGAGCTGAGGAAAATAGAGGCCAATAGGTATAAATTTATGTCTGTAGAACAATATTATTACAGGACATTTAGAATGGCAAAGTCACAGGAGAGGGGAATGCCTCCTGTTAGCACTACCTGCTCTCACATGCTCTAGATTATGTGAAAAAAAGATCACCTGCAAAATGCTGTGGGAACCTTCTACTTGAAGTTTCATCCAGCCCTAATGATAAACTTCATCATTGCCTTGTGCCATTGTGCCCATATTTTGGTTCTGGGCAAAACAATTCCCATAGCCTAGATATTCCCATTAACCAGTAGGCAGCAACTGATGGAGAAAGGTTGGGAATCGTTTCTGCTAACTTCAAGCAAGTGAATGGCAGGGAGGACGGACAAAACAAATTACCCCTCTCGGAGCAATGAAAATCTGGGCTGATAATTCCACATAGCTTCCTGCAGAGATGCATTACTACATAATCAGCACACATCACAAACAGCAAAACAATCTACCCCCAAGGTTAAAAAAAAGGAAAAGAAAAGAAAAAGAGCTTCTTTGTTTCAGTTTTGACTAAGGGCTATGGATACTGTCACAGATTTATTGTAAATCAGGGTATTGTGGAGCCCTTAATTTTCAGGGCATTTGAACTTAAGACCACATGTTGCTAATTTGGAGTATAGGAAAGAGAATTTAACATGCATAAATATTATATTAAAATAGTTAGAGTTTTTTGATTAAGGATCAAGTTTTACTATCTCTTTTTTTTTCCTCCCCTTTCTCAAAGTCTACACTTGGATACGTTGCTCTTCTTATAAGTACTTTCCACGTACTGATTTACGGGTGGAAAAGAGCCTTTGAAGAAGAATACTACAGATTTTACACACCGCCAAATTTTGTTCTTGCCCTTGTTCTGCCTTCCATTGTAATTCTAGGTAAGATCATTTTACTTTTGCCGTGTGTCAGCAGAAAACTGAGGAGAATTAGAAGAGGATGGGAAAAGAGCCGTATCATGGAAGAAGGAGGTAGTTCCATTCCACATCTCTCCCCGGAAAGGATTACTGTAATGTGATGACTAGTATTTGGTAGCACTGTTCTAGATGCTTTTTTCTTTTCTGTTTTTATTTTATTTTATTTTATTTTATTGGTATTAAACTTAATTTTTCAGAAAGTTATCTAATCTATAAGTAAAGTCACTGTGGACTTGCTTGGCATGTAGTACAAGCTCAATCAAGCTATGAGAAATTTACAACTAAAAAACTACTACCTTAGATAACTACAAAACTATTTTTGTTTAAACTATAGAGGGCAGATGATAGTGAATTCAGAATTTTTAATGCTCTTTTGCACAGTTTTATCACAAAAATATTTTATTATAACCATGCTTTCCTGATATTTCTTTGACTTCAGAGCATGTGTGCCAAAGTGCTATTTATTAATAGCACATTTTCTGGAAAGTGTTTCTTTTATTAAACAATACTTTTTGGTTAGTGAGCTCAGAATATGGACTGAAAGAGATAATAATTCAGGAAATAGCCAGATTTTGAAACAACAAAATAATTTGTAACAATGTATTGCACATGTACAGTATATTTATTTTTTGTGTGGCTTTATACCATTCCATGATTTGAATATGTAAGAAAATATCAATGTGGTCTGATGATTATACATCTTGTAACACAAATATATTATGCTAACAGGATTTTTTTATACATCTTGTAACCCAAATATATTATGCTAACAGGATTTTTTTTCCAAAGCATCATAAAATTTTTTTAGACCTTTAAAATCTCTTTATTTTCATGTGAGTCATAAAGGAAAATTCAAAACCGTATTACAGAAGTGTCAGAAGACTTGCAGGTACAAGCCGTACAACTTTTGCTATTAGAATGATTTGGAAAGGCCAAGACATATTTTAAAACAAAAGAATTCTGCAACAGTAAAAATCCATTTTCTCTGTGAAACTTGCAGTACCTTGATAGATCAGGGAAGCACCACAGCACTCATATTCTTTATGTTTCTACACTGGAGTTTCAATTATTGTATGTGAATTTCCCAGAGTCTACCTTAAAATCTTAGTATTTTTTGTGCAAATACAATCTTCTATTTTTATATAAAGACTTACTTTTACAACATTTATCTGTGGGGATATGATAGGCCTGAACTTTTGAGAAACAAAATCAATATTCTTATACCTCAGAATTTTAAATACATTGACTCGTCAAAATGAAAAATCACTTCTAAAACTTGGCATTTGCCTTTCATTGGGATTTAAAAGAACATTTAAAATTATGTGTTTCTACTGATTTACCAGGTTTTATTCTTCTCTAACAAAATACAGAACAAAATTCTTCTCTAACGAAAAACCACAACCTCAAATACAAACAACACAATGTACCTTTTGCATTTTTATTTTACATTTTTGTTTTACATATCCTGTTTTATCTGGTGAAAAGAAAAAGAAAGAAAGAAAACACAGAACAGGAAAAAAGATCTCTCAAACTTAAACCGATCTCTCAAATGTAAACCTCCCAAGTGAATAAAAAGTTATTTGCATTCATTCTTTCTTTCACAACCCCATCAGTTAATTTCAGCCCACTGATCTGATCATCCCATTTCCAATATAGAGTTGTTTCAGGGGTGCATGAGGTGCTATGTAAGCACAGTGCTACTTTATCAAGCATATTAGAGAGTGAGCAAAAGAAACTGTCATTGCTGGATAGACAGGAGCCTAAACTAGTAACATGAGCAGCTCAGTAGTAAAACAATTATTTTGATTATAATTATTCATGTGGATAGGTGTTCGAACGAATATTTTTCATGGGTAGTCTGAAAAAGATTTAATCTTCACAAATCCATTGCACTGTTTGCATAAAACTCTCAATTCTGTCCTATTAGTTTCATGTTAGAGAAAACAGCACATATGATTTATATTGGAAAAATGCTATGCTGTGCCTGCCCCACTTCTTTGTATGGATTAAAATCACGGGAATCGGAAAGTTTAATTGTGAGCAGAGCTTAATTCCTCTGAATAAATTGACAAGAGAAACCACTGCTGGTTGACAATCTGATTACATTTAGAAACTAAAAATAGTGCTATTATTTGATAGTAATTCTACATCTATGTAGAATAGATAATTAATGTTCATCTTCCCAATGATTATCTAATTCTTGCAACATTCTTGTGATAACGTTGCAGAACTAAGATGCTGTAGTAATTAAATATCACTCTCAACGTTTATATATATTTTTACTGTCTCGTGAAACCATTTGGTATAGAGAAATGTATATGCCCTGTTTCCTATGCAAAAAAAAAAAATCACTAGTAAAACCTCTGAGAATATTTAAACCATTAAATTTTGAACTGCAAATGGCTTCTGGAAAAAATAGAGACGTGTTTTTTTTTTTC